ATATCAACCACATTACCAATGAAAACAGGTCACGTTTTCTTATAGTTTTTAAGGTGTCTGCAGTTTAATATGACCGAGGACGGCCATTGTGGCCGGCTGCGCTCGCGTACGCCAGTTCTCGTTAAGAAAGAAACCCTCCGCCGGTAAGCAACTGCAACATTGACGTGGCTAAACCTTAATTTTGCTAATTTAAAACAAAATAATACATGTTGTAGAAATAAAGTTACAAGTGGTCGTAAATCCATCAAATGTAAATTTAAAAAAAATCGTTGAAGATTATATTTTTTAATCCGTTCATCCGCGCGCAAATTGCCGCTCAAATTTTTCAACTTTTTTGTTTTAGATTTTTAGCAAAATCATGGCGCAGTATAACAACTTTGGCAAAAATAGAACTCTAACTATTTTTAAAAGTGTACCAAGCATGAGATAATTTGCACGAAATGTTTCAGCTCGACAACGTTACATTGAAACACCTTAAAATTCACCGATAAATGCCTCAAAATAATAGAATTGCTTAAAAAGCTGTTTGTAATATTTGTATCTCTCTTTAAATATAACGTCAAATAAAGTTACCACAAGAATAAAAACTAAATTTAATAGCGCCTACTAGACCAGCATGCTCGTATTACACATATAAAAAGATTAACGTTTTAAAGAGTTGTATTTCTCTACTTCCGGGACCCTCAACGTTGCGTCAACGCGCCACCGAGAAAATCGTTGTTTCCCCCTCCTCTCAGTGTGATTCGTTATCCCGAAAACACGGAAGTATATTGCAAAAGCCAGCACGTCTGTTCGTTGCGTAAGCGTGTCTCGCTACTTCAAATAAAAAAAGAATAAAAAAAAAAAGATAGACACGACACTTCTCCTGACTGTTTTTATCTGAACAACCACAGCCAGCATCAACCCGCAGGCGCACTTCTCATATATCATGTACGGGGACACGGCGTTCGCTGTAGGCACGATGGACGAATTATCCGCGCTTCGAGCCCGTTCAAAGGTTGTCTGCTTCGTGTTGAAATGCCATTAAAACACCTCGGGGGGGGGGGGGGGGGGGGGGAGGGGGAGGGGAGGGAGAGGGAGGGGGGGGGGAGGGTCTGCGTTACCTTTTTTTTAGTTGTCCTACCTCTTCTTGTTTGCGCTTCTTTAATGCCATTTCAACATGACCAACCAACTAGCCCAACAATACGCCTTTTGTGTTTGCTTCGTACAGATTCGAATGGGTCTGCAGACGGTTCTTGTACAACCAATCTTACAGGACGAGGAAGGCTTCAGTTCCGGGCAGCACATGTTTTAGCAGTACGAGCACGACCCAAGACACGCAGGGTGTGATTCACTATGCTCACCCTGTTTTCTTGGTGATGGGTTATTGGTGATCGGTTCTTCGTCGTTCTTATCGGCTAATGCCCCAACCCGATTGGATGCAGAACAATCTTAAGATTATCGGGACGCGCTAGGCTCTGCGTTGACACCGACTACGACAGGATTAGAACGGGACGGCGGTCATTCGGTTGTCCCGCGGCGCGAGCTTCTATAGTCTATAGCTTCCATAGCACTTGGGTGGCATCTCCTGAGACTCGATCGTGCACGTGCAGCCGAAGCACGGCGGAAGCCAACGATCGTGTGCCGAAGGTCGGTCGCCCGAAAAACGCGACTTGCGTTTTAGTCCTTTTAGTGACTACGGATAACGGGCGCCATAGTGTCGAATTTTCGATGTCCCCTATACTCCGCGACAACTTTTCCTGGCAATGCAGTGGAAGGTAGAGGCCCGCGTCCCCTCTCCCATTTTGAGTGTACGCAGGTTCTCCTCCTCCCCCATTTCCGGGGAGAGGAGGAGAGCCCGCGCCTTCCACTGCATTGCCTTCCACTGCATTGCCAAGAAAAGTTGTCGCGGAGTATAGGAGGAGAGGCCAGCGCGGCGCTTAGGTTGAACGCCAGTGCTGCCTCGGACGCCTGTGTTCAATTGGTGGGAACACGAGTGTGTGACGATCTCTAACAAAGCACTCGTGCGCAATTTGTGCCGATAGCTTTCGGTGTTAGCGTTTCGTGCTGACGATTGCGAAGCTCGATCTTGTTGACGCGTTGCGTAACAAATTAACGCGTTGCGTAACAAAATCAACTTGGGGAAAGCATGATCCCGCTTAATGGATCCCAGCGGTTAAAATATTTCAAAGTTTTTTTTTGTTTTGTTTTTGCGTGGTTCGACTCTTTGAAGCGTTAACAGCTGGTCACGAAGGAGCTTGGTTTCGAAAGAAGTGATGTTGCGGAAGACTGTTTGGGGTGCCAGAATCTTAAGCCGGGGTCGCACTGCTTATATATTATACAAAAGACAGCCTACCTACCATTCAAGCACGTGTCACCGCGAAATCCTAGCTTCGAATGCTGCATGGCAATGAGTTCCAGGAGCGCACTCGGCACGGTGCTTTCGAACCACGGATATTGCAGTGACTCGTAATTCCAGACTGCATTTTGCATTATGTTTGAACAGCATGAGCGTAGCTACACCGTGACCGTAGCTTCAGTGTCGTCGTTGAACCGATGCGTTTTTTCCCCCCAATGTACTCGCTTAGTAAAAACAAGAACCGCGTAAAACTCGAATTAAACAAACGTCCCTCGCGTGATTCTCGTGCGTAATGTATGCGTGTAGTTTGTCGCAGAGATTGGATAATGTACGCTCGAAATTCAACTCTTTAGGGTACTGTTGACAATTGAAGCAGACGTCAAACAGTCGAAAATTGATTTCCGGTAATGCATTTCTATGGGAAAATGTGCGTGCATTTTTTCCTCCGGTCGATTTTAAGAGCAAATATCACGAATAATTTGTACGTGCTAGGTAGCTTAAAACATTTCTCAGTCGCGCAGACGATATGATTGGTCAGTTTCCGCGTTTTTCCTTCAAATTCGTGGCATTAAACACGGTACTATGACAGCCTCATACACGCACTTATGTGCATTGTAGGGGCACCGTTAAAGCGAACACGGTGTCGGCGCTTTTAAGCATGGGCGATATACGTGCCAAACGAACTAAGGACATCTCGAAAACCAAGCGACACGGCAAGGCCTACGGAGTAACAATGAATCAGTAACTCCCTGTGCATGTAGACGATAAAAGTGAATTGAAGGTCAGGCAATGCAGTCCGACTTGCAATAAATAAGTACCGCTTTATTCTTTCTCAGGAATATGTGCGAAAATGTTGTTCTTCGTTAAAAACATAACCCGAACGGTCAAAATCTTTGAAAATAGGAAGACGCCAGAGAACAAGTGCCTAATACAAACTGCCCGGCATAAAAATATAAGAAAAAAAAAACTTTTCATAACCCTCGTACCTTCTACTTTACGGTTTCAATGTATTTACCGCTCGTAAAGATGCAAGACGGAATCATTTTCATATCATGAAAGAAAAGGCTTATTATCAATCCATAAGCATCTCCGGAATGCTGGCGAATCTTGAACGCACTCTACAATCCTTTCGTATGTTAATTTGGTTAGGATCGTCGCTCATTTTCACACAACTGCTGTGGAACAGAGGTCTGGGCCGTAGTCCTAACGAAATTTTACATCCTTCAATGATGCAGAAAAGTACTGTAGTTAAAGTACTTACCGTGTTACAATTATAATAAAGGTTCATACTAGTAGGTACGATAAAAATGACGAAAGTGATCCAAAGTAATTCCCGGCGAGGCAACAAAATGCAGGCGCGTTTTCCCATAGGAATACCCAGGAGCACGGAAAAGGTGGACTGGATGCTGTCTGATTCAATTTGCATCCCTGACGTCGCACAGGCATTAGCGCCATTTGAACCTCTAGCGTACATTATACTTACTCCATGGTTCCTTATAGTGCCTAGCTCGCTACGTGCTCGATGACCCAATGCAGTTTTAGGGACTACTTCATCTCATGTGTCAGCGATCCTTGATTACAGGCTGTTGCAGCATACCAGCACAACTAGCTGAGAAGTCGATACGGTTCATAGCGGAGCACTAGAAAATGAATAGACAAAGCGAATGTAACCTGTGCCGGTCTCTCGTTACACGACAGGAGCCGTTCGTAAACTAAGCAAAAAAAAAATGCTTTTCAAGCGAGGGTGATGTATCACCTTCCGGTATACAATGGCGACGAGTCTTCCGTTCCCTGTCGGGACAAGGTACACTCCGTTTCATTTTACGATGCACCGGAGCGGCCGCTTTGAACCATCCAGTGGTTTGAACATGTCACGTGGCTGCCCCCGCCCCCCTCCCCGCCCCCCCCCCCCCCCCCCCCCCCCCCCCCGCGCGTCGCTGTGCCCCTCATGGCGGTCCCGTGACAATGCCACGGCATTGGATTTGACTTTGATGTCTCGTATCGTGCTGCGCGATCCATGGCAAGGTGAAACGGAGTGTATGTATTTGCTCGACAAAGGGGTCTTTTACAGACGTGCCGTGACATTGGCTGGGTGTCGAAGGTTTACCGTGATTATCTGGAAACTGGCCCTCACTCAGAAAGGATTTCAAAATGGCGATCATAGCTCAGAGATGGCAAGTTGTATAAGCTCGAGCATCGCTGAAGTCGAAGGAATAGTCTTTTGTAAAAAAGAAGAAAGTGCAGCACACCGGGCTGTCGATTCGTCAAGTTTGAACAGCAAATGGAAGCAGCAGTCGTCTGTTTTGTGCATCCGGCATTTGAGACTGGTGACGTTTCATTGTGGTGATCTCTACGACACGGGTAAGCGTACGCTCACGTACCCGAGCATTCTTGCGTCCGCACGATGCATAAGTGACTAAAATTGTCGTCGGCGACAGCTTTTTACAAAAGGGAAGATAAATGCTTAATGTTGTATTTATGCCCGGTTAGGCCAGGCTTTCTGTGTAAGAGGCTCTTACCTTTTAGTGCTTGGGGCAACATTGTTGCCATACCAATGTGGCCGCGAAACTAGTCTGTCTAATTTTACAATGAATATCATTACGGTCAGTTTTGCGGGGAGTTTTTTTGCTATGCAGTAGTTTTCTTTCCTTGTTTGTTTTAGATACAGCGCTTCCCTATGGCATGGACGCTATTCTCGAGACTATTTTTCACGTACACATGGCGGTAAGTAGCCCGTGTTTTTGTTGTTGCTTATTGTTTCTCGTTTTTTATACAAGCGTTAATACACACGTTTTTGTGTCTCTTTTTTGTAGGATCCTTGTCCTCGGATATCGAAATCGGCTTGAACTTTCTTCATTAGATCCACTCACAGAGAATGTGAAATCCTCCACACTCTCGGCTGTGTTTCAACGGGCGTCCATAAAGAAGCGGGAATATAGGTGAGTTCGGCTCTGCCTTCTGAAACCATGGCTTTTGCTTTTATTGGTGGAGGACGGGGGCGGTTGAGATTTAAGCATTTCGTACAGCGATGGCCACGCTGTGAGGCCTATTAAATCTGTGAACTTACACGTGGAAGAACTTATAGGATGTCACGTCTGATGTCCAAGTTTGTATTTGTGTAACTATAATAAGCTATGCTTATCAATTATCACCTTTCAAAGTGATCCTATCGGGAGTATGACCAAGTTGCAAATCGATGTGACTGATCTGCACGTAAGCTCAGCTCTCTAAAAGATATTAACGTTTAGGTAGAATGCACAAAGATATCCGTCTGTATCATTTGTGATTGATACAGCGTCTTGCTAGAAGAGATTCAAATAGCCTGCGGTGTCGCCGCTAATGAGGATGATATGATCTTGTACAGATGAATTGTGCGGAGGATGTCGATGATGATGTGTGGGATGATGATGGTGATGGGATGATGAAGAGGAAGAGCATTAGGCCTAGCAGCGGCCTTCGCGATGGTGGTCTTCGGGGGCCACCATGGTCTGCTGACTTCTAGCAGGCCAGTCTCGAGCGCCTGGCGTGCCCAGCTTGCAGAGGTGCCGGCGAAATCTTTGGCGACGCAGGGAGTCCAGCATCCCCGTGGTGGGGTTCCAGGGGTTGGCTCCGGGTTTGTCCGGGTGGCGGTCTTCGCGAAAGCGGGTCTGGCTTCTAACCGAGCAGTTTGAGCACCCTGTCGATCGAAGACATGGCGTGTGCCACCGGCCTGTCTGGCTCGCTGACAATGAAAAAAAACACGCCTTACGCCCAGCTGGCTTCCTCTTCCTGTTCTTGATACATATGTTGATCAGGCCCAGAGATCATTTGTACCATGTACCATGTGTTTTTGTACCATGTTTTTCTCTTCTTTTTCTTCTTATTTTTTTGGGGATTTTCAATTTTGTGTTTAAACAAGTGACTTCTTGCCCTTCCTCGTGTAATACCCGGACTCGGGTCCTCAGGGTAAAAAAATAAAATGAATACAAGGCCACGAAAATTTTATTCACATAAGCAGCAATATTTCGTGTGATTTCGCTTGCAATTCAACATCCGCCCGTGAAATTCCCACTGGAAGGTCTTATCAGTAAACAAATAATACGTGAAATATACACATTAACTTACAAACAGCAATAATATTTCAAAAATTTCAAGGGTATTTTTTTTTTACTTTATAAACCATAACCTTTAATTACATATACCATTCGTCCTAAAGCTCTCTTGTCAAAGTTTGTTTTCTCTCTCGTAAGTCACTCCTGCGTTTTGATTTGCAAGCTTTGCTTTCCTATGTTTTAGAGATAAATAAGATTCGTAGCTGTGCCAGGTCCCACGGCAAGATAAGATACATTAGACCCTTTTCAAAAGTGAGCGCCACCTAGCAGCTCGTGTGCCAGTTGGATCTACCATAGATTGATCGCGTACATACTCTGAGCGCGTATTTCACACAAGGGCTGCGTGAGCGCCCGGCAGGAACTCGGCTCAGCCCGTATTGAGAACACGTTGGATGAGGACTCCGATTCAAGAACACACGCTCTCTGCTCAAAAACAGATGAATGGGTGGAGTGATATTAACGGCTGTAGTTTTTATAAAGGGCGGTAGCTTGTGCCGCCATCTATGAGCGACGGCGGCAACCAGACCACCGGCTAGCCGGTCACCTTGTTTTCGCCGTAACTCAAAGATGGCGGTAGCTGTCTAGAGGGTTGTGTCGAGATTCGTTTGTCTAGGGACACGAAACTGGGGAAACTAGCCCTTAACGGGTCCGATGTAAAAACAAAACAAAACAAAAAAAATCGCTTTCTCGTTGGAGCTAGAGCCACGCGGGAGAGAGTCCTACTTTTCCACTTTCCCACCCGTTCTCCAGGTTTGCCAGTTAGTTGTACTTCGGTCAGTTTCCTCTAGATAATTTCAACCAGCGCTCACCCTTCTCTTTGTTGTCTCTAACGAGAAGGCGACCGTCAATATTGCCTGATGGGGTATTAAAGAAGGTTTAGTATGTAAAGAAAGAGATATGCCGTTTTTTTTTATTTAGACTAACAAATTGGAATTAAAAAAGCATTGAAAGCTGCACTTATGCGGTTTTTGCAGGTGAGTTATACGGCCAGGAGGACATAGCATACGTGGCTAACCGACGATCAGTCAGTTAATTTATGGATATTTTTAATTCACTTCTTAACTAGAAAAAATAGAAATATGGTTTCAATTCGAAACTTGCCCGGCATCATTAAAACCACTAAATCAATAATTTTAGACATACTTTGAGCCCGTGGGAAGCGTAGTAGTGCGCTAAAGATACCACTCGCGCAGCAGGTACAGTCCTGAGGCTATTGTAAGAGATGGAAACATCGGGCAGGCCTGTTATCGCAGCGGTAGCCTTGCTCCAGCTGCCCGAGCGGTAAATTCAGCGCACTACTGCGCTTTCTCACGCACTCAGTCTTTCTAAAATGCTGATTTTGTGTTTTTCTATGACGCTCAACAAGGTTTTAATTGGAACCGTATGTCTATTTTCAGGAATTAAAAAGGGAAAGAACAAGTTTTGCTTAATTGGCCGACCTATCTTTACGATTATCCCCATGTACTATGTCCCTCTGGCCGGATAACTCGCCTGCACAAACCGCATAAGTGTAGCTTTCACGGATATTGTTCAACATATCTGTTAAGCTTAAAAAAACATGTAATAAAAGGGTCTGTAATTTTAATTTGAACAGATTTTTTTCAAACAACCGGGGTGAAAAGTGGATGAGTTTTGTCGGCACCATCTATTTATTTTGCTCCGGGTGGATATTAGATGAGTGGATAATCGGAACAGTAAGATGACTAATTAACTAAGATATATTTATTAACTTTTTTATTTATTAGTTTTAGGGGTCATGCTAAAATCGTAGTATAGACGGCAATTTCTATTAAAGGCAAAACCAATTTTAAAAAAGAAAACAATTGCGAAAAGGGTAATTTTTTTTTAGGTCTTATTCGATACATTTTAGGTTTTTTTCACTCGATTAAGAAATTGCACTCAAAAAGAGCGTCGCTAGCACCGGCGAAGATGAGGCTTCTAAGAGTCACGTCGTTGTTTCAATCATGTCGTCACTAGGTCTGTTCGATCCGGCCAGAAAGTTCTGAACTAGTTCTGTTTGAGTTCAAAGGAGTGCAGTAGTTGTGCAGCGGTGGCACAGGACCGTTGCATCCAACGGGTTAGAACTTGCGCCGTGATCGACTTCCGAAGTTCCGATAAAACGAAAAGAACGAACGCTCAAGGTGTCGCCTGCCTTTGCCGGCTACTCTGTGTTTCGCCATGCCATTTCGTCTCCTAGTGCTTGGATGAGCACATTTCCGTTTATTTTATTCAGTCTCTTTAACAAAATGCTTTACAAGCACGGTTCCTTGCACAAAACGTTTTGCATTAAGAAGTGCGTGTAACAGCCGATGAAACATGTCTGCATTTTTAATGGTTGCCGTCTGCATCCGTGCGGCGATTGCTTTCATCGTGCATTTCATAGCCGTTTCATCTGCCTCGTACAACCGGACGCCTTCGCGAAATCCGGACGACTATGTCCCATCAGAACCTACTGGCGGCGGCACCCTAAAGTTCCTTGACGTATTATTTTTTATTTGTCGTTCTTACGAGCTTTTTCTAATAACCTCTACTTGTTCTCGGCCTCCTCAGCGATGATAACACCGCCGAACTCCCCGAAGACGGTGTCGGCCAGCTGCTTCGACAGGGCTCGTTTGGTCCTAAGAAATAATAAAATATCCCACAGAGGCATAACTGGAACATCCCCTTCTTTTGAGACGTTTCTTCAATTCCTTTATAAACGCTAAAAAAAAAAAAAAAAAAGTTTGTTTTTACGGCATTTTACAGCATCTCGTCGACGTCGCTTTTGGACGGACAGGCAGGCTGCGGGACCGCCGGTCGGTGTCTTGCTCGGAAGCTAAGATGAACGTAACTCGTTTCCCGTCCTGAAGAATAGAATACGAACATACTAAACATCGTCGTAAAAGAACGAGGTAATGATTGATGTAAGCCAATTATTCACGAGACGTAATGAAGCGGCCGCGTAAGCGAGCCTACACGGCTTTGCTTTCGACTTTACAATATTCTATTCGAGCTAATTCCTGCCCTCCATTATGTAAACCGCCCCCCTTCCGTCCACTACGGGTAAAGCCTTTTCATCCCAGAGTGTGAATACTTCAGTTTCATTGTTGTCATGTATTACAAATAGGGTTCAAATAAACAAGCACCGTGAGCAAGAAAAAGAAAAATCGTCTGCTTTCGTCGTCTGTCTGCGTTGCCTGCTACTGCACGAACCCTGAACTGACTTTGGAGCCGGTGCAAGCGTTTGCAGAACTGGGACGGATCAAACGCGCCATTGCAGCGGTCGTGCATTTTCCGGTTGAATCGAATGCGGAGATTACTTCACTGCTGAGTTAGTTCATCAAGTTCAGGCGAATCAAACAGACCTCCTATCTTGACAGAGCGTCTTTGGTGTGTGCTCCGACAAAACGACTGACGACGTGACCTAAACAACTACGCTACTTTTCCGAGCGTCATTGTGGACAGGAATTAATGCGCTATTTTTGCGGGCAATTTTTAGCTTGGAAGAAACAAAAAACGCGCAAATTGATTGAATACTTCTAAAGAAACCATTACCTTCTAGCACATCCTTTAAATTGGCCTGGTCTCTGATAGTAATTGCCGTCAATACTGCAGTTCTACTATGATCCCTAAAACCAATATTTAACAAGTTAATTAAAAAGCTACTGAAGAAGCTTTTGTTAATTACTGAGCTCAGCTTGACGATTATTGCCTCATCGATATCCGCCAAGCCTAATAAATACAAGATGAAGACGGCACTCGTCTAACGCAGCTCCCTAAAACAAGAATATATTCGTGTTAGAATCAATGACCCTCTATATACATGATATACTAGTATACGATGGAGAGCGGTTAATGTTGTGAAGTTTCATTAAACGCAGAGTGAATTCAAACTGTCTCATCGTGTGTTTTTGTTTTCTGTTTTTCTTCCGTGAAGTGCCTACGTGGATGAAAAAGAAGCGTTTATCCAAGCTCCAACTTCGAATAGTCCCAAGGGGCGTCCTCCACTGTATGCGGTGATCTTCGCAGTAAGCCGCTGGGAACTTCTCTTGTCTGCAGTCATTAGGCTTGCCGGGATCGCTCTTAGCCTTGTTCCCCCCCTCACTCTGGGGTGAGTTTACCATAAGTATTGCACTAGAGGGACACTGAAGCGAGCTTTTGAGTTTGCAATTGATGGTAGAAGTTTGGTGGTGGTATATTCTCTCACAGGGCACTGCAAATTAATAAAAATTAAATTTACCAATGACCCGTATTCTCAAAGACATGTAAAGTATGAAATACAATATTTCATGCTTTATTGGGCATTTCAAAACATTCAACGGCCGTTTTAGGGAGTGAACAACAAATACATTGTTGAATAATTTCCTCACTGAATTTAGCGGGGAAATTGACAATATCCCCACTTATTTCAATTTGGACACTGCAAGGAATGATCTGCTGTTGAATAGCGACACTGGTTCTTATTGTGCTTTATACATTTAGCCAATGCTGTATGACTGAGAAAACTTTGTCCTTGGTGTCCCTTTATTATGTCTCAGGTATCTTCTGGTTTTTATCGAAGATGGGGAGGTCGGGTGGCATGGATATGCCTACGCCTTGGAATATACCCTTTCACAGTTTGTTTGCGGATTGCTCAACGCGCACGACAAGTACTTCATGGCGCTGGGAGCCTACAAAGCGCAGTCTGCGCTCGTTTCTGCCCTTTATAAAAAGGTAATTGAATGCTTTATAATGCTGCCATATTTTAGTTATTCTTAAGTGTTGATAAGGAACGAAATCCAGAAGATAACTTTAGAGAAAGCGCATCATCATGGCCATGTTTCTGTAGGTCTTCTATCATCACTCAACCAATCATAAACTGAAAAGACGTAGTGACTTGCTCTTTTGACGCTCCTTGATTTATCTCATCAGCTTGGTTGCGTCTTAACTTAAGATGAAACGAAGTATACGAACTTAATTTAGGGCCAGGTTTTTTTTAGATCTATATAGGTATTTTGATGTGAAGCTAGTTATGTATCATACATTTTAAAATAATCTATTTCGATATTTTTAGTTTTAGATTTTCAGCCCATAACTAGAACGACTTGTCGCGTTAAAACCCGATGATTTAGTTACACATAATTGAAAAAAAAAAAACGGAGGCGACGGACGATGAATGGCACAAACACAAAACGTCTCCCCCCCAAACGGAGCTACCAAACTTTATTTACACAACCGTTTATATACCAGCTCTCATACGTTTACGTTTCGGTTAATTGTTAATGCCTTTTCAATAACATGCGTTTCACGGAATCAAGTTTCATGGTGACACTGTACTTTATAATCTATCGATATGACTGGGATGCTGCCTGATAAGTTTCTGTTAAGTATACCTACCGCTGATGTCGAGGAACTTTTCGCTTATGACTATATTTGTAAAAAGAAAAGGCAGATTTTCTTTTTTGGAAGTCAGATACGGAACACGTATCTGACTAAATTCCATTAATATAAATATGACATTTCATGCTGTTAATTATATGCAGTGTGTTGATTGGCGCCCTGGTAGCCAAAAAAAAAAAGAAAAAAAAAGTACCTACAGGGTGAAACAAGAAGACGCCAGGATATTTAAATCGACCGGAAAATTCGGTTTCTTGACCTATTGCGCTACGACTTTGTGCAGCGTTGCCCACAGGTGGAGCATTTTTTTGTAAAATTTGCAAAGCGCGAACTTACCTGAGGAAAAAGTAACGAAAGAAAAAGGCTTAGCTCCTATGGAAACGTAGCGACGCCACCGGTCTTCAAACAACACGGCGCCGTTTCGCACGGGAGACAAGAGATGGCGCTAGCGGTCGCGACGCCAACTGCCGCCAACGAACGAGCAGACGTCGCCGAGAGCCGGCGTATTTAGCAGACAAGGAACTCCAGTTCCTTAGTGTTACCGCGTCTGTTTTTGTTTCTGCGAATGTCGCCACCTGCGGAACGCGCACCGCTTTTGAGTCGAAAAGATTGTCTGCTAAAGAGGCCGGCTCTCGGCGCCCGTATGCTCGTTCGTTGGCGGCGTTCGTTGCGCCATCTCTTGTATCACCCTGTATAATGTTGGTTATAAACAAAACTATGCGATCTTAAAATGGTGGGGCAAGGTCATCGGCACAAAGGATCACGTGCCAGTACGGGCCAGCGGCCCCATACCATCTTTTAAAAACGAAAGTCTGTGCTCCAACTAGGAATGAAGCAGGCCTGCAGAAGTTCGATTAGGTTAAATTTGGTTTTTGTCTAGTTCAACTAGGTTCGACTAAAGTCGAAGTATTTTGCGCAAATGGAGAAGATAAAAATCAAGCCAATATCACCTGGCTGTAAAGTGCGCGCGATAGTCATGGATGTACTCTTCAACATAACTTAAGCCGGAGACGGCGGACGACGAACACGGAAAATACAGCCACGCCTCAATTACTTTTTTTTCCATCGTCTCCGGTTTAAATTATGTGACCTAAACCAACTCGCCTGCTTGCTAAGTACTGAGTCACATTAAAAAACGCATTAAATAATTAGAGGTTTATGTTTTTGCTTTCATTTCGTAGAATATATTTAAATAAAACTACTGCATAAGCTTTCTGCACCTGACGTCACTTTCGATTGGCCTCAAAATCGAAAAAAACATTGTCGTCTGCCATTAGTGCCTCGGCGCCATGTAGTAGGCATTCGGCGTCTTACTGCGGCAGCAGTAGTGCCTAGAGGCCTGGCGTTTGCCTCAATCGCGTTTGATGATAAACCAAATTGGTGTCAAGCAACCGATGGAACGCTTTTCAGATTAATCGTGACTTGTGTTTAACATCCTCGGACGGCACTTGAACGTTCGCAAGAGAGCCGTCGTACGTCCAAAAATGCCTCGTTTGCTAATCATTTGCGATGCTTTACACGAAAATGAGTCCCGCTAACTATACGCAAAATCATTGTGGGGAAGGGGGGGGGGGGGGGGGGGGGGTGGAGGGAGGATATTGTGCGAAACTTGCCAGCACTGTAGCTGGTCCTCCAACTTTTTGACTGGCTACTCACATGAAATTACTTGAGCTGCTGCACAAGTAATATCGTCTGCTTTACTTTTCGGTATCAATCCCAAAGAGGTTCCGTATCTGACACGAAGTGCGATCCACAAACGCTTAGTTGGTACGTAGCTTGTCTTTTGAGAATGCGCCGTCGTATCCGTCGGAGCCATTCATGTTGCCGGCGAACCGATTGCTGAAGCGTCGCCTTGTCCTGGTTCCTAATCATTTTAAAAACTCCCCCCCCCCCCCAAAAAAAAAAAAAAAAAACACGATAAGGAAAGACTGTTGCACGTAGGTTCGTTTTGTCATCGACTTGTACGGCTGGAACAATTTATTACGGCGCAACTGACCATTTTAAACCTCGCGTGAGTGGAGAAACTACAGCTTAAACACGGCGCCAAAGCACACAAAATATAGCAAAACAGGGACGAATGCCCCCAGCATGGATTCCGGCAAGTTATGGCGAAATTCCCGAACCGGAAGTAAAGTTGCATCATGCTCTCGTGCGAGAACCCTACAAAATAGCTTTCACCCAAATATTCAAAATGCTTGTGAAGTTGAGCAACACTGCTTCAAAGTCCGACACTGGCGAATTTCGCGAACCGCTTGAAGATTCGTTGAAGCAGTCGAGCCTCGGGTTCGACGTGAAACTTCATGTTCGGCGAACGTCACCTGCATCCCTTGCTCTAAATCTCATACTCTGACGTCTCACTCATAGGTCCTCCGCATATCAAGCAGTTCCCGTCGCAAGTACACAGCCGGTCACATCACGAACCTGATTTCCGTCGACGTGGAGCAAGTCGGTCAGTTTCTCCAGCTGGCCAACAGCTGCTGGAGCGTACCCCTGAAGATTGTCGCCACCCTGGCGTTCTTGTGGCACTACCTGGGACCATCGTGCATGGCCACGGTGGCCACCATGTCCATCGGCACTCTGGCAACCACGTGCGCTGCTCACTACTGCGGCAAATTTCAGGTGACCATAGCCAGGACTTGGTCGCCGCCGACTCACCGGCTGAACGAGAAAAAAAAAGAGAGAAGCAACGGTGGAGACGTAGCAAATACTTGACTGCTTTCACACTAAAGGCTTATTCACACGATGCATCTTTCCAACGCGCCACAGTTTAGCGAAACCAAGATTTCGCGAAATCGGCCTGTTCACACGTGGAGTTTGACGCGCAAAACCTGTGACGTGTTGACTCACGAGAATTTCGCCAAACCTTGTCATCTGCACCGGGAATACCAAGCGTTTCTCATCAAAATGTAATGAAGTACGCACAATGTGAAGAGACAGTCTGTTTTATCAATACCACTCAATGAACTTCGTCAGATTCGGCTCACTGGGTTTACTAGTCCTGCCAAACCCGGGAAAGACCGCGAACGTCAAAGAGCAGGCAGACGATCTCGAAGCATTTCGGACATTTTTGCACCGCTAATAAAGAAGGTTATTCCCAGTCACCAGGTTTATATCCGGTGCTTGCACTTGTCGCGACTATTGATGAATCTGTACCGCGCCACCAACCCGCACTGTAGGCGCCGTTCACACACATGACGCCGAGTAGGACGTACGTCGCCCGTACGCACCGCTCTCCGCTTGTCGCTCGCCATGTTTGTTTATTTTCTTTCGGCTTTGGCTCGGATACGGAATCGGCCGAAAATCAGACTCCTCCAAAAGCTCGCTCCTCCTCGAAGGTTAGACGTCATAGCAAAGTCGAGCGGCCATTGGCAGCGCCCGCGTTTCTCCTTCGGGTGATTGACAGGCCTGGGTGAGGTTTCAGCGAAAAATTGCTCCAGAAGCGAGGAAGACGCGCCACTTTTTTCGGAGGCGCGCCACTTTATCGGTCGCGTTCAGACGGGGAATCTGTTTCCCGAAACCTAGTTTCGCGACACAAGATTCCCCAACAAGATGCATCGTGTGAATAGACCTTAAGTCCGAGCGCAGCCAACGTTATGATCTAGTGAAGCAATAAGCAAACCAAGCAGCGTCAGAAGTGCTCCGTCACGGCACTCGACGTCTTGCTGCGTTTGCCGTCGCCGCATAATCTATTCACGCACACTGAATCTAGCCTGGATAGATGGATGGATGGATGCTGGATGGATGTTAATGGCTTTACCCTTTGTAGTGGGCAGTAGCTTGCTCCACCTAGCCTAGCCTGATGCTGCGCTTTATCGTGTGCGTGATTGGTTCTGCTGCTGATAGTCTTTTAGCGCTCCTTGATCAGCTGCTTCGGATCCTAGTGTTGGCTGCAGTTCGACTTAATGTGAAACGGAGTATAGAAGAAATTATATCGTTTCGCGAAAATTCATCCCTCTGAAAGTAAAAAAAAAAGTGTGGTGTTACACCCATTTGTCTCATATAAGGCACGCCAAAATTTTAGTTCGACGTAACAGCGCACCGACGTCAAACTGACGGCTCCAACTTTTACGAGGGGCTTGATAACGGTGCAATATAACTTAATAAACAGCTAGTGTCAAAGCCTACACAGACAAGAAAAACCACTAATGTTTTGCAATCAAACAAAAAAACAATTTTTGTTTTCGTAGTTAGTAACATTTACATTAGCTATTTTAAGTAGATTGTACTACTCGCCTATCAAACCGCTCGTGAAGGTTGGTACCGTCGGTTCCGATGGCAGTTCGCTGTACGTCGAACTGAAGTTTTGGGGTGTATTATATGGGATGGGGGGTGTAAGTCTATGGTATATCGTTTTCTTTTCATTAAATTGGTCTTGACGCGTACAGGATTAGCGTATACTCGAAACCCCGAGCATACGCCACATCTTCTGGGTTTTGCGCTTTTAATTGGGGAAAGGCAAGGTGGTCCCTATTGCCATCTATCGCCGTTGGTATCTCCAGCGCCGGTCCAGGCAGCCGTCTCTGCTGTCTAGGCGAACCCGGTATCTCAGTGTGCCGGCGGCAGCCCCCTCCATCGGCGCCGAGCCACTGCGCGACGGTGTGGGCAGCGCGAGTTGCGTGCATTCTCTCTGACGCGAGTCGCACACACCGCCGGAAAAGAGTTGGGCGCTCTATGCACTCTGTCTAATCGAAATGAGCGCAGTAAAAGGTATCCTCTTAGTGAAGTATTTGAATGAAGTAGTCTCTGTTATTGTCTCCCCTTTCCTTTCAAAGCTTGATTAGAAGCGGAAACAGACCCTTCCTAAAACTTCGTCAAGCAACATGACATCTGGCGTGTTTTGAGCACGTTAAAAAAGCCTGTGATCGGACCCTAGTCTTTGCCGAACGCTGCTGCAGCGCCCGTGTTCATCGCATGTTAGTAGCGGAAGCGCGAAATGTGGCGGCCTCCAATCACCAGTGCAGCAGATACTTCGTTTCGCTTGAAGGGCGAGCGATGCCTAGGCTAAAAGCAGTGTTGGGAAGTACTTTAAGTACACTGTACTTAAAGTACTACTTCAAGCAGGTTTAGGAAACGTGTATTGTGCTTGAAGTACAATAACTGAGTTTGTACTTGTACTTTACTTAAGGTATTTTTTTCTGGTACTTTTCGAGGAAAGTACCAGAAAGGCCATCATGAAAGATTCTGGCAAAATACTTGTACTTTACTTTGAAAGTACATTGCATTTATAGTACTCTACTTCCAGTACGTTGCATTTACTGTAGTTAATACTTTACTTCAAGTACATCACGTCTCATTTACTTTGTACTTTACTTGAAGTACATTTTAGATGTACTTTACCCAACACTGGCTACAAGCGCGGGCATGCGGTTCTAAGCAATGCTTGCATTGCATGAGAGCGCGTGCTTGGCACGGACGTTAAAATCCCGGAGTTCGCTCTAGCAGCTTTTGCTGCGTTCACTCTTAAAGTGAAACGGAGTATAAGGCACGTGCACTTTTGTGAAAGGCTTATTTCGTTCCGTCTTAGTGCTTTGCATGTATGCCTTATGTGTCTTAATTTGGATTTTCAGAAACAACAAATGGCTTTCAAGGACTTGCGGCTCCGTCTGATGAACGAAATTTTGAACGGAATTAAGGTACACATAAAACTTAAATTCTTGCGTGTCTTATAAATATTTAGGCGACAATACCTGCTGTTTTGTGACGTGATCAATATATTCATTATTACATTTAACACTTTTTGTATTAATTACCCCAAAAATGCAAAATATTTAAAGCAAGGCAGAAGAGACTGGCGTTAGGATGCCTTACGTTAAAATAATGTCGGGCATCAAATATAAAAAAAACAAAAAAAACTTAGAGGTATGCCATATAAGATACAACAATGCGATACTCGAGTGATTATTTTATTTTATACCATACATTTTTTATCTTGATAATTCATTACTCTTCCCCTTTGGTGAATATGAGTCCGTCAAGGAGGTAGATAATTCTACTGCAGACAGATTGTTGCAATAAGGTGAACCCGCGTCTCTCATGACGTCACTCTGGGTATAACCTGCTTTCTAATCTCAGTAATTGATTATGCATATCGTAATTCACACATAAAGGTATTAAATTGATTTTTTTTCAAACGGTAAGCAACGAATATCGAGAAATAAATTTAGCCTTGTGAATGCAGCTTGACGTCTGCAGCGGTATGAATGGTGAAGAACGTATACAGCGCTTTTTCGGATTCATGGAATCTGACTCCTTTCCAGGTGATCAAACTAAACGCATGGGAACCACCATTCATTGAGAAAGTGAAGAAAGTGCGTACGAAGGAATTGTCCTCTCTCAGAAAATACTCTCTCCTGCAATCGGCTTTTGGATTCATCTGGGCGATTACACCTTTTGCGGTACGTGCAACGAACGTGTCTTGGTTTGCTTCGTCGACAAAAGTAAAGTGTTTCTACCGATATGATTCGACTACTTTGTACCATATAGTTTTCTTTTGTGAACCGGTAACTACCCTAGACGTTCATATAGAAATAAAAAAGTTAGCAACTAATATTTATGTATATTTGGTTTCTGCACGTGTTATATCGGGCTTACCTCGTTGAATTTTGTGCTAATTCCAAAGGTACGCACTTGGGAACTTGCCTGCCGCATATGACAGGTGCGTTGACAAAGCGTACCTGCCGCAATTCGTTGTTGTATGATTTTTGTAACGATAAGAATATAACCTAGGTGATAGACCTTTTGCCAAAATTACCAAAGCATCAAGGAGAATTAAACGCGCTGCTCGCCTTATCTCTATAAACAAGGGGTCCACAAACGGCAGCCTGCGAGGGAACATTATGCGGCCACCGCCACGCTACCAGACAAGCCTCCCCCTACCCCTCCCCCCCCCCCCCCCACACACACACACACGCACATAGATAAGTGCACACGCACACTCCAGAACTATTGGCGCAAGAATTAGTGCTGGTTGCGAGCCTGGTGTAGTTGGGCGTATTGGCTCTGAAGCGACCTACAAGGAGATTAGTTTATTATCAACTATGAAGTGTTGCACATCCCAGTGATGCATTAGAAAATCAATAATTATGATAGTCATATTGAGCATACTTTTCCTTGGGTAGCGCGGTTCATAACATTGTTAATTTCAACAGATTTCGTCGCACTCAGGGGTTCGCTATGAGGATTTTGACCAAGCGGCTGTACAGAAGTGTAGCAAATATCTTACAGTCCAATTGCAAAATAAATAAATAAATAATAATACTAATAGTACGATGGCAACATTTGTTGGTTTTCAGTTTGTCTTGTTCATTGAACTTTGAAATCAGAACTGTGTGGCTCTTCGAAGGTGCAGGAGGCAGAACCAGCAAAATCAAGGGTCACGCAAAACATAGCCTGCAGCACAGAGCATAACATTTCACTTTGCGTTTTATTTGTTTTTCTTTGTGAGCTGATTGTCTTCTGCCACCCGCCCCGCCACCCCACCCCCGGATTTTCATCCGGCGTGCTCTGTCTTCGCTTTGCGAAAAATCTAGCCCGCTGCAGCAAAAAGTTCTCGACCCCTGCTATAAAAGATTTATTTTAAGATTTTGCTTTCAAACAGTTTACTATTGCAGAAGGCAACAAGCGCAGCGCGTGTCACTACACTCGCGTTCTGTTGTTGTTTCTTTGTCAGTGAAGCCGATCGTCCCTTAACAACTAGCGCTTCGACAGTACTAAGAAAACAAACCGAAACCTATCGAAGGTGCTGCGAATAATGATAGAGCGCCACTTTAATGCCGGGGACATCTCATTGATGTTCAGTGTTGACCCATCACTACATTAAACAAATATAGTGTTGGTATAGCTTTATGACAACCAGGTCACCCTGACACCTTCAAAGATGTACATAAATGAATATCTTTTACAACTGAAAATGTCCACACGTTCTTCGGAAAATCTCAGTGATTTCGCAAGTGCCATCTCTTTTTCTTTTTATGGTTTATTTGTTCGTTGGGAGGGGAAGGAGGGCAGTATCAAAACTTGTGACGGTCCTGAGAATTCCTGTCATCATCACATCCTCTCAGTCACAAAAGTAAAACCGAATAATCACGATTCTCGGCGTCTATTCTCTGCGTTCAGTGGGAGTTGGTATCACGAGTATGGTGCCTGGATCGTGTCTTCGACTGGTGTGTTTAGCGCCCTATCCCGCCCATACATCAAAAGTGGTCCCAAGGTGGCAACAAATGACGCGGGTGTCATGCTGTTGCCTGTCGCGATCCTGGCGGTTGGCCGTAGAAATGCTGGCGAAAAGCACGAGCGAACGCGAGTGTCGCTGTCGTCACGGCGTCGCTTTAGTCGTCCCAACTTCCGGCTGCACTAGCTTCCGTGAACTGTCACAGTGGAAAGCGACCTGCAGCAGAACAGGCGTCTGCCGCACTCACCACAACTGTTGGAACGCCGCCAGGGTCGTGACCGGCGACAGCATGACACTTTTATGACGTCATCAGGCGGAAATCGAGGGACCACTTTTTTGGCCGCGGTAAACGCACCAGTCGGAGACGCGTTCCAGGCACCATACCACGAGGGCGGAACAGTATTCGGTGCCCCGGTAGACTTCCGGTAGTGCATTTATTTCTTATTCAGCAAAAAACAGCGATCGGGTAACACAATATTCCTTCAGAGAAGAACCTGTAATCCGTTTGTAAAAACCTGCGCACTTTGTAGAACGTAGTACAAATAACAAAAGGATGTGAAAAAACCGGAAGCTTGCAAGCCTCCGTCGTCAGCGGATGGCAGCGAGCTTGTTCGCAAACAAACATCGGTGAATACGGAGCGCAAGTTCGTCTGCTTCTTTTGCAGGAGTCGTGGTGACGTCAGAACGCCGAGCTCTGATTGGCTCTGATCGAAGGATAGTGAGTAGACCCCAAAGAAAGCTGCCTTGATGTCTACCCCCTATCCTTCAGTCATGGCTAATCAGAGATTTGATGTCTGACGTCACCACAAGCCATGCAAATGAAGCGGACGAACTTGCGCTTCATATAATCACCGGAAACTTAAGAAACGTTAGGCGTGGCTAGTTCCAAGCATCTTGTTAATTTATTATAGCTTCGTAGCCAGCGACATTGCGGCATTTGAGATTGTCGAAGTACCAATCACCAGGCGAGAATCAGAATGGACCACTTCCAGCGTTTCTTAAGCAGTAGCGGTGACTATAGAGATAATCTTCGAATGATGTATTTGTCATTTTTTTATGAAACTTCAGTGAAGAGACTAACACGACGTGAGCCATTTTTCAGCGTGCTACCCTGATGTTTTTGTACATCTAATTTGTATTTGATGGGGATTTCTTTTTTAGGCTCTGCTGGCATCATTCGGAACTTTCCTGTTGGTAAACTTAGCCAACCAACTCTCCCCGTCGCTCGCATTTACGTGCCTTTCACTATTCATGCTACTGCGCCTCCCAGTGTACATTTTACCTGAAGTCGTTTCCAGGTTCATCAAGGTGAGGCGTCATTTTAATGCTGCATGATTTTCTGGAAAGACTCTGCCCCCCTTCATTGTTGGCTACCTCGACTCATACGTAGTGTAGCGTGTCGCTGAAAAGACTGTCTGAATTTCTGGACGAAGCTGACCTGCAGGAAGACATGGTCGGTGGAATTCCGGAAGAAGGTAGCTAGATATTTCTTTCATTTCTGATTCGTTCAAGAGTTTTGAACTTGCTGCGCCCCTGATTGGAGTTATCAAGCATGACTTGATGCAGAAATAGCCCATGTCACACTGCCCGCTGTGCAAACGCCGTGGAAGCCGACGTCGAACTTTGAAAAATCTTATCCACACGGAAGTTTTTATCTCACCCATTCGAAACTTCACTGTTCCAAATGTGTTCTTTCATTCCTTCTGAGAAGAAATAGTACTAAAAAAATTACTTCATTAACGAACTTTATAGAAGTTAACTTCTCTTATTCGTGAATATTAATGCTTTGAGAGTATATGCGGCTTGTTACGTACGTAGGGATTCCCTCCCAAAATTTGCGCCTATATAAAAAAGTGTTTAAGACTTGTGGATCTTTCGGGGTTGATTACGAGTGCTGAGATTATCGGGCCGTGTCTTCAAATATTAAAAATTCCCCCCATAAACGTGTCAGCTAAAAGTAGAAGTCTACCAAGCGATTTCCATCTGATTTTCAACAATTTCCTTGTTCCGAATTGTAACATATTGACATCGAGTGTTCCGACAGTCAACAGATTCACCCGATTCTTAATATGTTTCATTGAGTGTCGGTTCTTAACTGACAAGCCTGTAGACCATTCGCCTCTCACCGGTTGGGAATATCGGAATATGGGAATACATCGGCAAAAATTGATTGTGGCCTTCTTTCCCCAACACACCAACGGCGTCCGAATCGCATATGCTGGCTAATGTAACCACCTGCCTTCAAGAGCCCTAAAGGGCTCTGTTTCTTGTGAAGAACCCTGACACAAAATAGGTGCGTTCACCAAGAGCTCCAAATAACGCTTCTGACGTGGACGCCAAACGAAAACTCATGTTTTGCCTTTTGTTTCTGTAGAAGTGGAGCGACCGTTCTCCGCCTTCAAGAGTCTGGGAACAGAGAAAAGACACAACCTAAGCAAACATACACTAGATATCTGCCTATTTTCTTTAATATAATGGAAAGAATATAACGTGCGTTCTGATGACAAGGAAGCAGAATACATACTTTGGCGCTAATAAAAACAGCTAGAGTGTATTGACAGAAGTGCATGTTGTCCCGAAAAGTGTCCCCATATTTTGGCATTTCCTGTGTCAGTTTTCGCCCGATTATATATATATATATATATATATATATATATATATATTTATTTATTTATTCATCGCGGTATTCTCAGCCCTGCCTATTACTTTTAAAAGGTTTGAGTTCTTACGCATGCCTGAGCGAAATAATATTCGTTGGAAAACATTTATTTTTTATCGCTCAACTATATTCGCTTACATCTTGCGCTCAAAAACGGATAGCACTAACCTCTTCGATCGATTTTAATGTTTCTTTATTATCATTTATCTCCAGGGGCAGCCGTCACCCTCAGTCAAGCAACATTTGCCTGGTCGAAGGAGGACCTTCCGGTCCTCAAGGACGTGAATTTGAACGTGAAAACTGGCAGCCTCGTTGCGGTGGTCGGGTCGGTGGGCTCTGGCAAATCTTCCCTTCTTTCAGCTGTGCTAGGAGCACTGGAAAAGATGTCTGGCTCTGTCGACGTGCAGGTAAGCGGACGGTAACGAAATTAATCGCTGGTACTAGTCTTTCTTTTCAGTATTTGGCGCTTTCGTTCAAACATAGCAGAAGTCGCTCCGTGCTGTTAAAGTACCGCTACTGCTTTAATATATTGCGTCATATGGCGAGGGGGTAACTCAATGCGTGACCCTATCTATTACTTTTAGTATTGTTTTTATATCATAAATTAGAAAAAAAAACACGTATTAAAGTATCGGTCGGATTATTTCATAAATGTTTTGCATTTCGAAAAAGTTTAATGAAGTCACTCAACCGGCATACCACATATACGGTAAAAGAAGACTGAACTGCCGAAGATCTTACTTTGCTAAGTACTTGGGCAGAATGAGTGTATCATGAAATGAACTATCCAAAAGAAAAAGAATAGCACAATATCGGCGTTCTGTGGCACACTTGGAGTAAGGAACCACCATGATATCTTGGGCCGCCGACCCGTAATAGGAACCTGTTTCGGAATTGTTCCTGGAAACATTTCCGCCCTCCATCTCCCCTGCCCCCCCCCCCCCCCCCTCAAACCACCCCTTTTCCCGAAAAAAACAAAAAAGAAAATAAATTTATGTGCCTGGATTTGAGACGTATGCAATAACGTTACTTCACCTAGGAAAACAATACCAGCAATATTTAAATTTTGAGACACATTTTGATTGAAGAGAATTTTCAAAACGTGCTCTTTATGGGCGAATAAGTTCCGCAAAATAAATATTGCTCGTACATTTTTTCTTGGTGGAAAGTGTTTTTTTTTTACGTTTATGTTATACCTAGGTTCTTAAAATTGTTATATAATTTTTAAAGTTTGAGGTCCAAACCTAAAATTATTAACATTTCACCCGGTTTTATTTTTGTACTTTCTTGAAATCCTTACAGTGAATAGCTACGTGCCCTTACAAATTTTGTGGCCCCAGCGTTCCTTCAAATCATGCTGGATTAACCTGAGACTGGGGTAGAGAACAAACACCAAAACGTAGAAAAACCGAAAATAGACAGGACGGCGTCTCAAACCCTGCTAACTCGTCTTTTTAGTCCACCTCCTTATATAGTCTCAGTCTCAAGGTCATCTCCACAAACACAAAAGAACGAAGCCTATACAGTTCAAAAACCACAGTTTCCATCAGACATTGCTAGAATGTGGACAACTTTAGAGGTCGACGCGATAAGGCAAAATCCATCCCCCATCAAACATGAACAAAATATCTTCCCCTTCTATTCCTTCAAATGTTCATTTCTTTTAAAAACCTTCCTGTTCAGTGTGTAGATGAATCGAAGCAAGGAGGATAGCTGACACCCATTTGCGGCTTTTTGCATGCATCTGTGGTTCAAGGGCAGGATTGCCTACGTGGCGCAGCAGTCGTGGATACAGAATGCGACCCTGAAGGAAAACATCATCTTCACAAACTCTGTTGACGAAGATCGGTACCGGAAGGTCGTGGAAGCGTGTGCTCTCAGGCCGGATCTGGACATGCTTCCGGGGGGCGACAACACTCAAGTGGGAGATAAGGTACGTATGCTTGAATAAAAATTACAGCAGTTTTAAAGCGAGGAGGGATTTTTGTCGAAACCCACTCTCTCACCAGAAACGTAAGTCCGTATTGATATCCCGTGACCGGATGCCATGTAACTCCGTATTGATATCCCGTGACCGGAAATTGATATCCCGTGACCGGATGCCATGTTACATCAGGTCAAGTGAAGCCGTGACGTCACGTGATATAGGGGCCTGACGTTAGGCGACGTGACGTCGATTTATCTGTTATACTTAGCTGGAGTGTGCAAAAATAAGCAATATGTTTTGCGCTCCCTGGCAGAACAGTTTAATGACTTTCTAACGAATTTAAATGATTGCTCCGTAATCAATGGCTTCCGTGCAAGATAGCTATTCTGATGTAGAGGTGGTCAATAATTTTGTAATATTCTACTGTACGACGAAGGTCTCATACGTCTGTATATTGAAATACTCTGTTCGCACTTTTTCCTTGTGCGTTATTAGATCGTGACAACCCGTTATATATTTTGTATCAAACGTTATCTGAAGCTAAACTAGGGTAGAGTATCTCTGCCCCTAACGTTGTTGGAGAGTATTGGAGAGGGGTAGCGAGGGGGGGGGGGGGGGGGAGAGAGAGAGAGAGAGAGAGAGAGGTAGTGTGGCAGCAGTTGGTACTAGTTGTACTCAATCCGCGTGCAATATGTTAATTTTTATCTTTATCAGAGCGCAGGTGTTAGGCGCCCGTTTCCGCGTTGAGCGGCGTCGGCGTAACCGCGCGCGTTGTATTATGGGACGTCACAGTTTTCTCGCTTGATTTAGCGGGGAAATTTTGTGTTTAGGTCATGTGACGACAGTTTTACAGCTACATTTAGCGGAGAAACGGAATTCGCAGTTTTGAATTATGGGACGTCACTGACCTACCACACCAATTCACTTTCCTCGCTAAATTTAGCGTAGGATTGAATTAGAGTTGAGGTCACCGGACGTACATTTTTCCGCAAAATCTAGCAGAGAAACTGAATTCGTTCATAGGTGACGTGACACAAAGTCATGTGACGCCATTTTCCCCCGATAAATTTAGCGGGGAAGCTGCGGGAGGAGGGAAGGGTATGGAGGAGAGGGATGGGACGGTGCAGAGGAGGAGGCTAGGAACTAGTATGCGAGGAGAGTGATATATATATATCTCAAATTGTTTAGCACAAAATATCGCAAAATCAAAATACCTTAAAAGCTGCGCCCTAATTGTAAACATATTGTAAATCATAACTTTTAAACTAATTGTAAACATAACTTGTAAACATATTTCATTTTTATAGTTGGTCGACAAACTGTCCCACCAACATGCTTTTTTGTACCTTGGATTTGATTCATTCTTTAGGGTTTCAACCTGAGCGGTGGTCAGAAACTGAGGATCAGCCTGGCTCGTGCAGTGTTTCACGACGCCGACGTTTACCTTTTGGACGACCCTTTCAGTGCCGTTGACATTCATGTTGCTTCGCACCTTTTCGACCATGTCGTCGGTCCGTCCGGCATCTTGAAATCAAAGGTAATCAGGAGC